GTTATTATTTTATTATATATATTACATTAAACTATACTAAAGGAATAGAAGGAAGGATCTCACCAACAGGCCAGCTAAGAATAGAAAAAGAAGGAAGGATAGCAAAGGCTTGTGGCTGGGACAGAGAGTGTGAGCCAGCTGAGTGTGATTGGCCATCAATTAGAAACAACCACATGAGACCAATCCCAGATCCCCCTGCTGCATCCCACAGCAGCAGATAATCCATGTTTGCATTTTGTTCCTGAGGCCTCTGAGCTTCTCAGGAGGAAAAACCCTAAGGAAAGGATTTTCTATAAAAGATGTCTGTGACACAGCCCCAGCCCTGTGTGCTGGCAGAGACACAGGGACAGCCCTGCCCAGAGCCACCACTGTCAGCAACCAGGGGATGGGGCTGGCTCTGGTGAGAAGGGTTTATTGCTCACACACACACACACAGCCTCAGTGCCCTGGCTCTGGTGAGAAGGGTTTATTGCTCACACAGACACAGCCTCAGTGCCCTGGCTCTGGGTGAGAAGGGTTTATTGCTCAGGTAAGGATCAGCCTCAGAGGCCAGCAGACTTTACAGAGTAAGCAGTTCCTACAGTTCAAGAGCACTCCCAGTTCTCTGTTATAGGCAATGTAGAACATTCTAACCCACAGCTGCCACAGGGTTTATTTTGCTTTTCTCACCCATCACCTTTCCTTAACTCTGCTGCACTGTGCTCACTTTTGTCCAGTGGCTCCTCACTTGCACACAGATGCCTCTGTTACAATTCTGAACTCTGACTTTACTCTGCACAGCCCCACCCTCACATTATCAACCCTGCACCACCTCACCTTTACAGTTCCTCACTCACTTAAGGCATGCTCTTACTTACAGCCACAGAAACATAATTATTTTATGCATTATTTTTCTGCTAATGCCTGTGTGTTGTATTTTCACATCAATCCAAGCTTCTTCCCAGGCTGCAGATCCAATCTTTTGGTGTCTCTGGAGGTTTCTGGTTGTCCAGTTCCCACATCTCCCCTCTCTCTCTGTATTAAGAAATTTTTATTAATAGATTTGGTAAGTATTGGTTGTACATATTAATGTAAATAAGTTGTTATTATTATTATTCATAGTATTATAATAATTAAAAAGTATTTAAAATATAAAATTTTGTTACATTTGTTAATTATGGTGTTAAATTTTATTTATTAAATTTTTAGTTAGGTTTTATTATTCTTATTTTTGATATTTTTCAAAGTTGTATATTTTTATAGATTTTGAGTTATTAGATCAACTTATAGAATATATTTCATTAATTTTTTTATATTTATGTTTGTGTTAATAAAAGAAAATTGATTGTTGTTTTGTTTTGTAAAACTGCATGTTTAATACTTTTGATACCTGTTAAAAAGTTATTTCATGTAGGGGATGTAGTATTGGATTGCTTATTTAGCTAAGATTTTAATTTATTTAATCATTTTAGTGTTGTTGAAGTAATAGGTGGCATAAAAAGTGATGGTTTTTTAAGTTTCAAGGTTTAAAAATATTTTTATAATTTGATTGCTATTGATGGATGAATGATTTTTTGTTATATGTTGGTAATTATTTTTATACTCAGAGTTAATAATGTACTTTTTTCATGATATGGATTATTTGTAATTGGTATATTGATTAGGTAAGTAAAGAATGGATTTTTTTGAGTAGTGATAGATAAATACAAAGTATTTAAACTTGAAACTTAAGTTGAAGTTATTTAAATGTTTGCTTTAGGTTGATTAATTGGTAAAGTTGGATAAGTAAAAGTAAATAAACTAAATAGAGGCATAATATTTGATTGAATTTTATATTTTTAAGTTATTATTTAATAAGAATTTTATACTAGTGATTTTTATATTTATAAAGAAACTTAAAGTTTATAGTTTTTGGTGGGTGTAATACAAGATGCTAGGTGTAAGTTGGAATTTTTGTGTAATTTACATTTGTACTTACCTTGTCTAATTTTGTTTTTTTAGTGCTGGAGTGGTCAGTGTGGTTTTTGTGTGATGTGGTTTTATGTTTCTTATTGAAACTTACCTGGGTTTTCCTACTTGCTGAGATGTAAGTAAACCTGATGTTGTCATATGAGAAATCAACTATTGATACATTTTGGTTTATAAAATTGTATAGAGATTTGTGAGATACTTATTTAAGATATTATTATAAATTTTTTGTTATAAGTATGAAGAAATATTAAAGTAATGTATGCAGTAAACAAAGAACTAAATTAATTAGGAATTATTTAGATTATGTATAATTAGTAACATGGGAAATGATATATTTATTAAGTATTAAAATATAGTATATTATTTTAGAGTTTGTAACAGTTGATAAATTTTAAATTAGTGGAAGATTACACAATTGTTAAAAATAGGTTTAGTTGTTATATTGATAAAGTCAAATTGTTAAGTTAAAATTATTTGAATTTTATTTTTGATGTAGCAAATATTTGGGATTGTTGCTAATTATTTTATTTCAGTATAGCTAGGGTTTGATTATAGTTTAAATTGTAATTGGTGGATGTTACTTAATACATTTTATATAAGGTTTTTAAAAATAGCAGATATGAGTTAAAATTTTAGGATTAAAGATGTTGGGATACTATTACTACCTCTATCTTTGCATGGTGGTTTTATTTATTGGGAGCTATGTTTCTTGGTAAAAGATTTTTATGTATGTTCTATTTAGAATTGTAGTAACTTGTATAGTGGGTTTTTTGTATTTAGAATATTGATTAGATTGTACTATATTTTTGTGGCCTTTGAGTAGTATTTACTAATAGGCTTTTGATATTTGAAGAATTTTTAGTGGTTTCTGTTACTTTTTAAAGAGTTTTTGATTTAGAATTTGAAGAGTATTTGGTGTTTGGAGGAAATAAGTTTGGAGTTATTTTTGGATATGGTTGAGTTGTATTTTTAATGTTAATAAGGTCTACTTTTGGTACATTAGTTTGATTGTTTTGTTTGGTTATGGGGAGGGGCTCTTGTGTAAGCCTGAGACTGGTCTTAGGAATTTTGTCTAATGTTTTATGAGTCTGTTAAGGAGGAGGTGTTATTTTAAGATTTATAAAATAGACTGAGAATCAGTTAAAATCAAGGAAGAAACATTATGGTAATTGAAGGGTGTTATGTTTAAAGAGTTCTAAATCTTTTTTAATAACTTGAAATAAGGTGAGCCTAATCTACTTTTTCTGTCCCCACGAATGGCATGACCTGTGCCCATTGCTCACAATTCACCCAACCAAAATCAAGAGCAAATGTTGCCTGGGCTCTAAGAACATGAAATAACTTAGAAGCAAAATAAATCACATTTTTCTCCTGTGTTTTTTTTTTTGTTTCAGATGCTGGACTTACCTCTGTGGACGTGTGCTGAGCTCTCACTGCAGGAACCTGTCAGGCCTCGGTGGCTGTGAGTTCATGTTCTTCTCACTGGGGAATTGGAATTAATAAATTAATTAATTGAAGAATTAATTGAATTAATGACCCCTTTCCCCTTTTGTGCCCCGCTGTGTGGGACAAGGGCAGAGAGGGCGAGCAGAGGAGCGGCCGGGGCTGGAGAGGGGCAGGAGAAAGGCAGAGGGACCTCCCTGGTGTCACCAGGGCACTGTGGGGAACAGAAGGGACACCGTGAGGGCAGGGGCAGGTGAGGAGGGGACAGCTTGGGGCAAAACCCAGGTTCACCTGCAGGGAAATGAGTCAGGGATGGTTTGGAGGGAAGAGCTGAGGGGACGAGTCCGCCCAGCTCGGCCCAAGTGGGAGCAGAGGTGAAGGCCAATCCAAAGCCAGCCCTGCTCAACCTCTGAGTCCCAGAATAAATTCTACAAACTGCCCACTGAGGGACTAAAAATACATAAAAACAGACCGAGGAGCAAACCAGAAGGTTCCTGGGAATCCCATTACAGTGTTTGTCATAGCCTTTTTAACGGATTCTTTATTACAACATTGCATTTCTCTGTTGGGATCGCTCACTCTGTGGGCTGGGGGGTTTTTGGGTCTGAGCTCCCTCACGGCAGCGCTGACACCCTCAGGAGCGGGGAGGGAAAGCAGAGTCAGGGCTCCTGGCAGGGCAGGGGGTTTTACCCCAGAGCAGACTCAGCAGCTGCCCCCCAGCCTGGCCAGGAGGGATCTGCTCTGGCTCCTGCAGGGAAGGAATGTTCCCAGCCGATTCAGCCGGCATTGCAGCGGCCTCACCTCCCGATTCAGCCGGCATTGCAGCGGCCTCCTCCCCCCGGCACTTCCCCATGCCCTCTCCCGCCCATTCTGAGGGGAATTTGTCCCACCAGCAGCAGGGGAAGGACACCAGCTGCCACCTTGGGACTTGGATTGTCCCTCTGGGGAATGCTTGCTACTGGGATTCAGAGCATTCCATGTATTTGGCTGCTGAAATTTCCCAGCCCAGGGATTTTAGCTGACAGGGCAGCACAGAGATTGTTCTCTATGTGGTGCCTGCATTTGGGGTTTGGTATCAGCTTTGCTAGTTCAGATGAGTTGTACCCACAGCCCCACATTCCCTGATGAATTCCTGCTGGAATAACCTGACAGCAACTCATGGAGAGTGGAAATTCCTATGCAGAGGTACCGCTTTTACACCAGCTGTGTCAGGAGCCAGCAGAGGTTCCAGGGAAGCTGAGTGGGATCAGGACAAGGACAGGTCTATATTCCATACAACTTGCTGTTTAAAACCCTCATCCCCCAGCTCCACTGATGTCCCTGGGGTCACTTGGCAGAGTTCCCTGGAACCCAGCTGATTTCACACCCCACCAGAGCTCAGCCTCCAGCTGGTATTTTAAAGCAGGACAAGGCAGTGGCTGGATACACTCCCAGCCTGTGCTGAGGCAGCACACCTCTCCCTGAAGAAGCCCAGCTCCTTTCAGAGCTTCAGCAGCAGCCTCTGCACATTTTTTCCCCCTCAGGAAAGGGATGCACATCCCTGCCTTCAGCACACCTCCAGTGGGACCCACCTGCAAAAGTTTTCCTTCATTTCTTCTGGCTCCCTGGGAAGTTCCAAACTTCATCCCACTTGAACCTCTGATTTTGAGGCATCTCCCAGGTATACTGCTTGGAATTCAATATCTGTGAGGGAAGATGGCTTTGGTGTTAGCGCTGCTGAGGAACAATGGCCTCAGGCTGGAAAGGAGAGAGGAGATTTGGGGTGGCCGAGACATACCTGGGAGCTGTGTGGGAGCTCTGGGAGGTCAGAAACGGGAACTGGTGCCTGAGCCCCTCTGCAAACGGCCCGTGCCTCCATTCCAGGCAATGCCAGCTGCTCCTTGGGGTCCTTCTGGGCTGTCGGTGGTGTCTGTCCGGGCTGAGGCATCTCCGTGTGCCTGTTCAGAGCAGCCCCTGGCTGAGGGGCCGCAGACAGCGCTTTAGCCGTGTCTGTGCCAGCGCTGTCCCGGTACCCCGGTGCCCACACCGGGACGTGTGTTCGGCACGCTACAGGCACAGCTCCTCCTGCAGATGCCAAGGGACGTGAGGGCTGCCAGCCCTTCGGGGGCTTCTGGCCTCCTCCAGGCCCACACCGGGCACAACCGCAGCGGGAGCAGCGGCCCCAGCCCCGGTCGTTCGGCGGGGATCCCCCGGGGATGCGGACACGGAGCAGGGGGATGCGGGCGCTGTGGCTCTCACAGGGAAGCGCGGTGTCCCGGTACAGGGGGGCGCGGTGGCCGCGGTGCTGCCGGGCCGGGCTCGGTGTCCTCGCAGGGCTGAGGGGCGGCGCCGTGTCCGCCAGGGGGCGCCCCGCGGGACGGGCGGCGGCGCTGAGGGAGCGGCGGGGCCCGGGGGGTCCCGGGGCTGCTACAGGCGATTCCCCTGCCCTACCCGTTTCCAGCCGTGACCCAGGGGCTGCTCCAGGGAAGTACCGTCTTCCTGGGGGCCCGGCACCATCATAGCCCCGGCTCCCAACGGTGCAGAGCCCCGGCGGGACCCCAGCCCCGCACCAGCCGGAGCAGGAGCGGCGGCCCAGTCCCAGCACCCGTCCCGGAGCAGCTCTTCCTACCTGTAGCGATGCCGGTCCGGTCCTGGTCCCAATCCAACCTCGATCATCCGGCCCCGGCGGGACCCCAGTCCCGCACTAGCCGCAGCCGGAGGAGGAGCACCAGGCTCGGTCCCAGCGCCCATGCCGGAGTGTCTCTTCCCACCTGCAACGATACCGGTCCTGATGCCAACCCCAGTCCCGCCTCGACCACCCAGCCCCGGCGGGACCCCGGCCTCGCACTGGCCGGAGCAGGAACAGCAGCGCCCAGCTCGGCCCCAGCGCCCGTCCCGGAGCGGCTCTTTCTACCTGCAGCGATGTCGGTCCGATCCTGGGCTCAGTCTCGCCTCGATCATCCAGCCCCGGTGGGACCCCAGCCCCGCAATGGTCGCAGCCGGAGTGGCAGTGCCGGGTTCGGTTGCAGCGTCTGTCCTGGAGCGGATTTTCCCACCTGCAGCGATATCGGTCCGATCCCGGTCTCAGTCACGCCTCGACCATCCAGCACTAGCACCCACACCCTGCCCGCCTCCCACAGCGGACACCGGCGGGACCAGGACCCGAGCCCCCAGACCCCGATCCCGGTCTTACCTGAGCGCCTCGGGCCCCACGCAGTACCAACCCCCGATCCGGATCTCCTCGCAGCGCTCCGACCGTCGCTCCCGCAGCATCCCGAGCCGAACATCCCCTGAAGAAAGCGGGACAGGCGCGGATCCGCCGGGTTTTATGGGCGGGAGGGGGGGGGCGGGGGGGAGGCGGGGCCCCGGGGGCGGGGCCGGCACAGGTGTGAGGGGCGGGGCGTGCACAGGTGTGAGCGATCCCAGTGCGCCTGCGCAGGGCGGGGCCTTGGGGGATTTAAGGCGCGAGGAGGGCCCAGCGGAGCCATTTGCTCCTCGGAGTTCGGTGGGGTAGGTTGCTGTCGGTCGGGGCTCTATATCTCTGTTTCTCTTTATTTTCTTCTGCGTTTCTTTTCTTTAGCATTTCTGTTTCTCTACACCTCTCCTTTCTCCCCTCCCTTCCTCCCCTCCCCCACCCCCCACACCCACCCCCCCCCCCAAACCCCCCCCCCTCCCTCTCCCCCCTAGCCCTCCCCTCCCTCCCCCCCTACGGCCGCCCCCCGCCCCTCCCTCCCATCCCACCTCCCTATTCCCTCACTCATCCCTACCCTATTCATCCCTACCTTACCCTACCCTATTCCTCCATCCTCTCCCTTCCCTCCCTACCCTGCCTTCCCCCCTGCCCCCTCCCCGCCTTCCCCTCACGTACCCCCCCGCTCCCCTATTCTCGTTCTGTATTCCTCCCTATCCTTCTTTCCTCGCAGCCGCGGGGCGCGGGGTGCCGGGCAATAATAAAGCCCTGAGGGCCGGAGCCCGGCGCCCCCGCCCTCGCTGGGGTCCCCACACGGGGCCGGACCCGCTCCGCGGGTCTCCCCATTCCAGTTCAAGCACCGCCCTACACCGCCGGGGTTCCGGCTGTCCCTACATCACACTGGGGGGTCCTGGGGCGGGGGGTGCGGGTTACAGCGGCCCCCTCGTTAGGAGGGGGTCCTTGGGGGGTGGTGGGGGGGTTAGGAAGGGCCCCCTCATTAGGAGGGGGTCCTGGGGGGGGGGGGGGTAGGTAGGTAGGGCCCCCTCCGGAGGAGGGGGTCCCGGGGGGGGGGCGGGGCGGGCCCCCTCCGGGGGAGGGGGCCCCCGGGGGAGGGGGGCGGGGCGGAGGGGGGGCATTCCCCCCTCCTGGCCCCGCCCCCCTCCCCCGGGGGCCCCCTCCCCCGGACGGGGTCCCGGCCCTGCCCCCTCCCGGGGACCCCCTCCTCCGGACGGGGCCCGGGGGGGGAGGGGGGGCGGGTGGGGTGGGGGGGGGACCGGACGGGGAGAGAGGTTCGTGTATGTGCTTTTTGTTTTTGTGTACACGTGTATGTGTTTCACGGCGCAGAGTGACGTGCCCCCCTCTGCTTCCCCCCCAACCCACCCGCCCCCCCCTCCCCCCCCGGGCCCCGTCCGGAGGAGGGGGTCCCCGGGAGGGGGCAGGGCCGGGACCCCGTCCGGGGGAGGGGGCCCCGGGGGAGGGGGGCGGGGCCAGGAGGGGGGAATGCCCCCCCCCCCCCGCCCCGCCCCCCTCCCCCGGGGGCCCCCTCCCCCGGAGGGGGCCCGCCCCGCCCCCCCCGGGACCCCCTCCTCCGGAGGGGGCCCTACCTACCTACCCCCCCCCCCCAAGGACCCCCTCCTAATGAGGGGGCCCTTCCTAACCCCCCCACCACCCCCCAAGGACCCCCTCCTAATGAGGGGGACCCTTCCTAACCCCCCCTCAGGACCCCCTCCTAATGAGGGGGCCCCCCACCCCGGGACCCCCTACAAACAAGGGGGTCCCCAAACCCGACCCCCCATCCCGGGACCCCCTCCAAACGAGGGGCCCCCGTGGGATGGGGGAAGCGGAGCCCCGGCGGCGCCCCCTGCGTTCAACCATGGAACTGCATGGGGACACCAGCGGGGCTCCAGCCGGGCCGGGGGCGCCGGACTCCGGCCCTCTGGGCTTTATTATTGTCCGGCACCCCCAGCCCCGCGGCTGAGGGGAAAGAAGGAATGGACAGAACGGGAAGAGAGGAGGGATAGCAGGGAGGAAAGCGAAAGGGAAAGGCTGTGAAGGGACAGAGGGACAGCGGACAGAGAAGGGACAGGGGCAATAGAAAGGAGTAGGGGGAAGAGGAGGGGAGGGTCTGGGGGACAAAGAAGAATACGGGGAGGAGAAACAAGAGTACAGGAGGGGACAGGAGGGGAGGCCGAAAGGGGAGGAGAGGAAAGGGGGGGAAGAGAGAGAAGGAGAATACAGAGAGGAAAAGGAACGGCAGAGGGGGAGACACGAGGGGAGGCCGAAAGAACTGGGAAAAGGAGGAGAGAGGAGGAGAGAGAAAAGCAGAGAAACAAGGGGAATACAAGCAGGAGAAAGGAAAGGTAGAGGGGGGAACAGGAGAGGAGAAAAAGCTGCGGAGCGGGGACAAAAGCCACCCGTCCGCAGCCTGCTCCGAGCGAGCAAATGGCGGTTAACGAGATTACCGGAGCTTAAAAAACCTCGGCCACGCCCCGCGCAGCCGCGCTGGGGTCCCGCACACCTGAGCCGGTCCCGGGCCCAACCCCGCACACCTGAGGCGGAGGCGGGACCCGCCCCTGAAGCTCCGCCCCGGCCCCGCCTCACGCAGCTCCGGCCCCGCCCCCGGCTCCGCCTCACGTAGATCTGGCCCCGCCCCCGAGCTCCGCCTTCACGTAGCTCTGGCCCCGCCCTGGCCCCGCCTTACGTAGGCCCTGGTTCCGCCTACGAGCCCCGCCTCACGGAGCCCCGGGCCCGCCCCGCCCGTTCCCTGGATGGGGGCGGGGCCATCGCTCAAGGCCCCGCCCGTGTCCCCCACACCGGCCCCGCCCGTGTCCCTCACACCGGCCCCGCCCATGTCCTCCAGACCGATCTCGCCCGTGTCCCCCACACCGGGCCGGCCCGTGTCCCCCACACTGGCCCCGCCCGTGTCCCCTACACCGGCCCCGCCCGTCGCACCGGGCCGAACCGGGGCTGCTCCCGGCGCTGCGCGGAGCCCCGAGCGCTGAGGCGGGGCCGGGATGGGGCCGGGGTTCTGGCTCGGCTCCTGTCGGTGTCGGCTGCCGGGGGGTCCCGAGCGATGCCGCCTCTCCCGCGGCGGGCGCGGTGTGGGGCGGGGATCGGGACCGGGACGGCCGCGGGCGGCGGGAGCTCCAGAACGCAGAGGCTCCACACGGACGGAACCGGGAACCGGCCGGGGCGGGGGAAGCCCCAGGACCCTCAGACCCCGCCGCTCCCCCGGTGCCACGGAATCATTTCCCAGTGCAGGCCGAGGAGTCTTTATGAGAAAACTCAAAACTCAAGGATACGGGATCTGAGGGGAGGGGAGAGATTCTGCTATAAATTCAATACACATTGCAAAAAATAAATCTATGGAACAGCCCATGTCCTCTCCCAGCCTGGTTTCTGTGTGCTCGTCTGTGATTCCAGCTGCTCCCATGGGATTTTCAGCCTGCGGGGCTGTAATGCCTTGCCCGGTGCTGAGCACGACAGGAAACAATGGGAAAACCCTCGGGATCAGGCCGTGGAGCCTCTCAGTAACCGTGTCCCAAAAGGCTGGCAGTGCCCAGCTCCTCTGGCTGCAATTTGAGGGGTCCCAGCACAGGCCCCCGGCACAGGCCCCTTGCTTCCCCAAGTTCCCTTTAGCCAGGATGATTTTGGGGCTAGGAGCACCCAAAGCCAGCAGAACTGGCCTTAACCACTTTTTGTGGGACTTCTCTCTCTTCCTCACCAAATTCCCTCTGTCAAAAGCCATCCCCTCAGTCTCTCCAAGGAATTGGGCTTGGATTTCCCAATCCAGCAGGGCAGAAATGCTGCTGTCCTTATTGTATATCCTAATTGCAGTAATTGCTTAAGAAATAATTGAAAGGAATTAAAGGAATGAAGAGGAAACAAATAAGAGCTGCCAGCTCCAACTAAGGGATGCTCAAACCCTTTATCAATAATTTGCTTTAATTAAACAAATTAAACAAATAAACAAACAAAGTCATTGACACCACATTGATACAGTATGACTCTTTTTACTGGAGTTACAGATGAATATTACAGAATGTAAAA